TACGTTTTCCATGTCTCTTCTATTTTTTATATTTATTTTAGGTTAGTTTGGCAGAGGAAGTGTCTATGTTTATGAAAACATAGTTTCATAAACATCAAGTATCTTTGATATATTCCCTAGTGGTTACTCTTTTCCTCTTATTTTGGGCTATTGGATAATAGATCACCTAGTAGGAGCTTAGAACGCTAAAGGTCTATTCACACACATCAGTCACGTCACAGTCACGGTACCGAACCGGTCCTGTTTGATCACAGAACTATCAACTATCTGACAGCTGGCAAACTGTTCGTCAACTGATGAGTGTGAATGCCGGCGCCATATTTGTATTAAAGAATATTTTGTATGACGGATTGTTCGATTCGGCGCAATCACTGTGACGAGATGGTGACGAGACGTGACTGATGTGTCTGAATCGACCTTTAGTGGAACTATGATGGGACGTCGGTCAATATAAAATCCAATGAAGCGGTGGATAGACGAAGTAAGAACCGATGCTAAAGAGATAATGAGGGTGGATAACTGGAGGATAATAGCCAATGAAAGGGGTGCTTGGAGGAGGATGCTGGGAGAGAACAGGGCCTAACGTGGGCTGTAGCGCCATAGGAGAGAGATTATATTATATGGAGAGTTATAGTATAACAAAGTAAACTGAATGATTTCTATATTAAAAATGTCATTAATAAAATATATTTTATTGTGTGTAATAAATTATACATAAATATTATATTCATTTCATTTGCTTTTAACGGAACAAAATCAAATTTTCTTACGGAACATAAAATATACGTAATTACTATTTAACTGGGAATAAGCCAGAATTAAAGGTTAAAGTACGTTTATTGACGTTTTAATATTTACTTCGGAAATCCTTCTCAAAATACAAACAGTAAATTAAACAAATTTTGTTTCTTTATTAAGAAAGAAATAAAATTTGTTTAATTTACTACTGTTTGTATTTTGAGAATGATTCTTGAAGTGGAAATTGAGACGTCAATAAACTTACTTTAACCTTAAATTGTGGATTTATTCTCATTTAAATAGTAATTACTTAAAAATGCCACAAGAAAATAGCTTCAGAACAATAATAAAACATATGAAATTATATAATTTACTTTTTAAATGATTGAAATTAAATTTTAAAAATTGTTTGATGCCCATTGATCATTGCTTAATTACTAACCTTTCTTCTTATATGGCTTTTGCTTTATCCGTCAAGACACATATAATAATTTAATAATTATATCGGCCTTAGATTTAATTTTTAGGTAATTACGTATAATGTATTTAAATAAATAATTAAAATTTTATTTTGTTACGCCACTGCAAAGTTGATAAGAGAAATATCCTTTTGTAGCTTTAAATGCGATATTGGTAAAAAATTGTCTTTAAGTAAAAACTGCTTTAGTATAACTGCGGTACTTCTCACGACATAACTCCCCCTTCCTTTGAACGAAGATATAACTCCCTCTTCCTAGAACGAAGAATCTGTAGGTTGATGAATTTTTGGATTTTCCTTATTAATATTTACTTTGATTGGTTTTGATTTTCTTTTGGATATTGTCTTTTAAAATGTTGTTTATGTCTCTTTGGAATGTCTTCTTCGGTAAATTTGATCTGATCTTTTTCTTCTTCGTGTGTCTCATTATTTAAGGACATTGGTGATCATCATGGCCAATTTTATAATATCTGCAGCAGTTCAGAAGAGTTTTATTGTTGTTTTTCCATTCCACTGCTTTAAATTTTTCAACCGGGACGTGCGTCATCTCCCCGGTTCTCTTTTGCCTTTTAGTTTCCCTTGAATCGATCTGATGCGAGATCTAATAAAGAAAAATATTAACATTGATCTAAATTATTTAAGAGATTAGTTATGGAATATCGATTAACTAAAGTAATCTGATTAAGGCGTCGATAATCAATAAAAAATCGGAATCTTGGTTTCTGAGAATTATTCATTTTCTTGGGAACTACCCAATTATAGGCATAGAAATGATCAAGATTGGTGGAGAACAACTACAAAGAAAAATATATCAGCTACTAGTGCAAGTATGAGAAAAGAAAATAATGCCATAGGAGTGGTATGAGGCCCGCATATGCCCTCTGCATAAAAAATGAGACAAACTGAAGTGTGACAACTATAGAGGTATAGCTTTACTAGACACGGTATACAAAATCTTGGCAAGAATATTGAGAAATAAACTAAATTGCTACACGGAAAGAATCCTACATGAGTATCAGGCCGGCTTTAGAAAGGACAGATCTATTGTAGACCAAATCTTTTCATTAAAGGAGATACAAACGACTTGTTATGAAGGTAAAGTTCTCCTGCATATTTTGTTTCTTAATTTTAGACAAGCATATGATAGATTCGATAGAGTCAAAATGTATCGAGCAATGGAACATTTGGGTATACCAAAGAAACTGATCCGGCTAGTTAAAACGACACTAAATAACTCTACGTGTGAAATTGCATGGCAGGGTCACATATCAGATCAATTTACGGTTGCAAAAAGGTTGAGACAGGGAGATCCTTTATCCACTACATTATTCAACTTAGTGTTAGAAACTGTAATCAGTAAATGCAGCATGAAGGTGGAAGAAACGATCATGCAAAATGAACACAGTGCTTGGCATTTGCTGACGATCTAACGATCCTAGCAAAAACCAAGAAATAATTCGGAAGAGTTGTGAAGAAAATCATCGAAGAAGCACAGAAATTCGGATTGGAACTACATGAAGACAAAACCAAATATATGATCATGGGAGGGACAGAAGGGAAAAAAGAAGACTTTAGTGTGAGGTCTGTAAGTGGTAAAAGCTATAGTTTTAAAAGGGTGGACAAATTTAAATACCTGGGTGTAGTTTTCGATGAAAATGAAAAAGAGAAATGGGAGCTCGAAGCCAGAATAGCAAAAGGGAATAAAAGATTAAGTAGTTTAAGAACCTTACTGAACTCAAAATACGTTTCTAGACGAGGTAAACTCAGAATATATAAAACAGTAATTCGACCCACAGTAACATAAGCCGATGATACATGGACATTAAACAAGAAGGAAGAGGATACTCTGGAAAGATAGGAAAGTAAAATATTGAGATGCATATGCAGAGGACAGAAGACAGAAAAGGGTTGGGAGAGAAGAACCAACAATGAATTAATGGCTTTATACAAAGAATCTACCATTACCAAGTTCGTCAAGTCACAAAGAATCAGATGGTTGCGACATGCGGAAAGAATGGCAGCAAACAGAATGCCTAAACTAGTAATAAATAGAAAACTAATCGCCCCCAAAAGAAGAGGTAGACCCAGAACGAGGTGGATAAGTAAAGTGGAGGAAGACCTTAAAAACGTGAAGGTGAGGGACTGGAAAAGAAAAGCACAAAATAGAAGCGAATGGAGAAATATTGTCCACCAGGTCCTTCAGAATAGTTAAGAATGTTGTATATACATATTTAAGTTAAAGTTTTGTTTAAAATAATTATAATTAGTTAATATTAGGATTATGTTAAAAAAAAGGCCGTAGGCCTTAATGGCCTGTTGTGCGTAAAAATAAATACCACTGACATTGAATTCAGTGGTGCACCCAGGGGATGAGGGGTTTGCGGGTTAAATCCCTCTTAGGTCACTATTCCAACACTGTTACTCAAAAATTTTAATTACTCAAAATGGAGATAAATAGCCTAAACAGCATAAAAAAAATTTCGGTGCCCAACCAAAATGCCCTCCCCCATATAGGAAAATTCTAGGTGCGCCACTGATTCAACTCTTCTGTATTAGTTTGTTTTTTTGAAATACTGTTTCTTAAAATATGATTTTAAAAGTTCATTATTTTTAATAGCTTAAAAATAATATTAACAGTAGATACAGTTAGTTTTAAGACTACTGTAATACACTAAAATACATAAGAAAACATTTTATTACAAAGTTATATATTCTGAACTTACCTCTTTTAGAGCATATAATAGTAAAAACTGTCCGCTATTATTTCTTGTTCAAAATACTCTAAAAAGCTTATCAGCTATTATCAGCTTTTTACAGACTAAGTCTTCAGTTGTTTTTAGCATAGCCCAATCACAATACATAACAGTAATTAGTTTTGAAAGCTATTAAGCTAAATTTAATATGTATTTATAAATACAATTTAGTAATATATAATATATTGCGAATCAAATTCGTGTAAGAAATTAAAACATAAAAAATTATTACTCTAAAAAAGCGGCAACACTCTAAGCAATTTTGCTAAATGCTGAACTGTCATTGAAATTTGAAGTATTCCCGTATCAGTGGAACAAGATTGTCTAATCTATTTAATTAAAATGATTATTTTGTGCAATATTAAACTTAAACAGTTATTTCATTAAATTTATTTTATTAATAATAACAAATGTTTTTGGCTATACAATCAATATAATTGTCAAATTCTCAATCTAATCATGATTACATTTTTCTGATTATTATACCATGTTGACGCCTATGAAAGATCGAGCAGTTCCGTATTGGTGTCATTTTATTAGCTGTGTTAGGAAAATTTGAAGTCTAAGGTTGATGTTGGGGAAATTTTAAATACAAGTGACTTCACTTTCTATAAACCGTGATGTGCAACGTTTTTACTTTAAAAAATAGATAAGATTTTGAATATACAGGTGCATAATAATTAGAGGATTTCATATTTGGCTTGATTTTATTTGTGAAGTTAATTGTTTCAACGCGAACTCATGTGTTCTTTATAACTCATATGTTTTGTGAGTTTTGACTGTCGTATCCCGTGGGTTGATTTTCACCAGTTCCGTTTTCAATGTAACAAAAACAAAATAACTTATTCGATCTTTTAAAACTTGTATTTTAAAAACAGTTTCCGACTGAAGTCGAAACATTAACAAAATATTTTTCATCATACAGCTGTAGTTACTTTATATTATACATTAATTACTAGAGTACATTAGATTTGACTAATAAAAAATATAAAAAAATTTACAAAATATGTATCACTATTTACAATAAATTATTAATATCGATATGCAGAAGGGTCCAAATTTCTTTTAGCTAACTGTTTATCTATCCAGTTGGTGAACATTGGAACATTTACATACACTCCTGGAGTTCCGTTTTCTCCACAGCCAATACCCCATGATACTATCCCCATCTGAAAAAATCTGTTGGGTTCGTTTGGGATCGGACAAACTAACGGACTACCGCCATCTCCTTTACATGTGTCTTTATTCTCTTCGCCACCGGCGCAAATGAAGCTTACATGTAGTCTGTAGAAGCTGCCCAGTCTGGTTTTCTTTAAAGAAGCTATACAGTTTTCTCTGCTGACTAATGGGAGATCTACTTTCTTTAAAATCGACGAATGTCGGCCTTTCTTGAAAGTATCTTTTCCCCAACCGCTAGCAGTACACATCACATTATCCATTGCATAATTTTGAGGAGGTAAGCAAATTATTCCTACGTTGTTTCTTAAAGTTACTGGTTCATTAAGAAACAACAGTGCAATGTCGTTCCTTAGAGATTTCAAAATAAAATTGGGATGAATTAACATCTCTCTTACAGTAGTATCTTGGTGAGGCAACGGTTCATCCTGGGTTTTTGTATCCCACTCCCCCACTCTTATGGTCAACAAAGTATGGTCTAAGCCCAATACACAATGGGCTGCCGTCATCACTACTTCTGGATGAATAAGACTGCCGCCGCATCTGTAAATATTTCGATCTGGGCTAGTTGCATCTCGCAGCATTATAATCACTGACCAAGGTAGTTCTCCAAATTGAGAAAGATTAGAATCTGTTGTTATTCTGGGGGAAAATTCAACGGGTGTTTTAAACCCGCAACCCTTGTATAACATTGGTTTGATTAACGCGCTAGGAATCTCTAAGGGATTTTCGCAGCATACTTCCAAATAGTTGGCACATTCCTGCTTATCGATTCTTATGTCCATTTTGTCCTCACCAGTAACTAGTGAGTCGTTATCTGCACATTGATTGGGAGAGACACATACGCAAGGTGGTAGTGATTCTGATATAAAATTGTCTTCATTATTTTGTGATTTACTAGTAGAAACGATAGCAAGTATCGTTAGCAGTTTTGGAAACATTATTATGAATTTTATCTGAAATAAAAAAAATTTTTCGGTAAAATAGTAGGTAGAATCTTATACTTATTGTACAAAAATATGATAAATTAATAGATACGAGATCAATGAAAATCATGGATATTATGATACTGGTTATAATGGTTTAATTTACTTAGATAACAAAAATTGCAATTTAGTTTAGTAAATAAGTGTCGGCGTAGCTCGCAACAAAGGAAAAAAATGTAATAAAATATGTGTATAAGATTAAAGGCAACCGTATATACGTTAGGGTGGGTCGAAAAAAAATATTTTTTTTTAGAAACGTTCTAGTGCGGAAAAGTTGCCTTTGGTAACAATAAAACATATGAAGCAAGAAAATATTTTTTTTATTTATTTTTCCGTTCACGCATTGCACGTAAAATTACGGGAAAAAACAAAAAAACTCGATTTTTTCCATATTTTTTTTTGAACCGTTTAACATGATATAAAAAAGTCGTTCTAGCTTTCTTTTACTCACAATTGGTCCAAAAAGTCTTAAAAAAAATTAGTTTGCACCAAAATATATAGTTTTCTGTTCGCGCATCGTACTTAAAGTTTGTGATAAATAGCGAAAATATGGGTTTTTGCGATAATTTCTGGTTTCACCAGAACACACCGCACAGTAGTTGAGTTCGCTTCTGCAAGTGGATTTAACTGGTTAGAACTAGATCTGTTGCCTCACGTAACCCTCCCCTCTCTCACTAGTCGGCCATATTTCTTTCTCCCACCAGAACTCGGCCGCCAGTCTACCGCTGTCTGTCATAGTGCCACTAGTGTCACGATTTGTCTCAGTGTCTGATAGTTGTGTCTTGACTTTAATGTGTTATAATTTGTGTTGTATTATTACTTCGTTATGATATTGATAGTTTTTTGATCGTCATAAGCTTATTACGTGATTTAACATCAAGCAATGGAGAGTGAGTCAGAAACTATTCTCACTAGAGCTGTAATTGCCAAGTCTAGACAGGAGTTTTGTTGTCCTATAGTTGGTGAGCCTCGAAGCTTCCTACAGAATAAACTGCCAACTGGTGAGTGTGTTCTTCGGTGCTGTTTAGAAGAGAGGTACAAATTTGTACTAGAGACCAACAACAAGAGGAATGTAAGTTTTTCTAAAGTAGCTTGCACAGTCGCGAAACTAATAATTGATTTGTATGAGAAAGCATCCATTCCCCCTTTGTCGTATAGCAGAATCATAACGCTTATTAATGCGTACTACAGTTCTTACACTACCCTAAGAAAGTCATACAACCGAGATAAGGATAAGGCCTTTTTTAAAACAAGGTTGGAGGAATTTAAACTTTGACTTTTTGGCTAAAAATCTGTTTGACGTTGCTGCTTGTAAATGCCCGATGAAGTGTATCTGTACTTGCAAAAAATCACCAGAAGCATGTCAGTGTGCGATTTCAATTGAATGTTTATGTGAAAAAAATAACAAAATCCCTGTTCTTGAAATGAGATTTTTTTATCTTCAAAGACACTTCAATCTAGGGAAAATTTTAGCTGTTGATAAAATAGTAACAAAAAAACTTACTGCAAAGGCCGAGCAGAAAGCTCGCGATATTCAGAGACTTGCCAGTAGTAAAAAAGTCGATAAACAAGGAGAGTGTTCAAAACCCCGTTCTGAATGTAGTTCTGATGAAGAACTAGAGACAATGGAAGATGAAGACTACGAAGATGAATCCGCTAAAAAGCCTCCCTGGCAGATGAGGATAAAACTTAATGCGACCTCTCTAAACAGTTACAGGTTCGGTGTTTCAGATCGGGCTACAGCTCTTATAGCTTCCAGCGTTCTGCAAGATGTTGGCATAATAAAAGAGTCAGAATCTGCCTTTGTTGTAGATAAAAGTCAGAAGGGAGAAGAGCCGTGTCAGTAGTGAGTTAAAAAATGAGTTCACTCCTCCCACAGAAAGCTGGGGTCTGTACTTCGACGAAAGAAAAGATGACACGTTGTTTATTGAGAAGTTAAATGCCAAGCAATTCAGAAGAACTTTAAAAGAAGAACATTATTCTCTCATAATGGAGCCTGGTTCAGATTTTATTGGGCACGTATCACCATCATCCAGTTCTTCCGCTGATATAACTCACAGTATAAGTTCTCAATTGACAGAACTCTCAATGCCACTAGAAAACTTAGAAGTTGTTGGGTGCGATGGTACAGTAACCAACACTGGCTGGAAGAATGGTGTCATCCATCAGCTAGAAAAACATGTAGGGCGCCCTCTTCAATGGAGTGTTTGTTTACTTCATTTCAATGAACTTCCGTTTCGTCATATTTTCCAGCACATTGATGGCCAAACTACAGGGCCTAAGAGTTTTAATGGCCCAATCGGACAGCAGCTGATTTCATGTGAACGACTACCTGTGGTTGATTATGAACCAATAGACTGTTTTATTCCAGAAATAGACAAAAGCACATTAAGCAAAGATCAACAATATTTGTTGGAAATATCAAGTGCAATAACTCTAAGGTATTGTCCGAAAGACTTAGCCGTTCGGGACCCTGGCCCTTTATCCCATTCCAGATGGTTAACTGCTGCAAATAGAGTACTTAGACTGTACATAGGATCATCAGATCCCTTTGGAAACCTTAAAGAGATCGTTCCTTTCATACTAAAGTCCTACATGCCTGTGTGGTTCTCAGTAAAGAAAAGTAAGTACTTTACAGATGGGCCTAAACATGTACATCAAGCCATACAAACATCGCGATATTTGTCCGAAGAGTTGCGTGAAGTAGTAGACCCAGTCATAGAAAGAAACGCATTCTTTGCACACACTGAAACTTTTAGCAATGCTTGTTGTCGGGCGAGACCACATTCGGGAAGTTGCCTACAGAAGAATTTTAAAATCCAGGCAGACCATCCCTAACAAGAAGACCATACGAAACTTCGTCCCTCCGAAGATTAACTTTCTGGCAGGTGACTACACAGAAATAATACATTGGAGTGAATGTGTGCTGTACCCTCCTCCAATTCTGAGAAATCTTAAAGAAGAAGACATTACGTCAGTTATTAGTTTAGATTCAAAACCAATGAGAGAAGTAGTAAAGTTTCCTTGTCACACACAGGCAGTTGAAAGGTGTGTGAAACTAGTAACTGAGGCTTCGTCTAAAGTTTGCGGAAAAGAAGCCAGAGACGGATACATCAGGGCCACTCTAAAGTCTCGCTCAGTTATTCCACAGTTTTCAAAAAAATCTGATTTTAAAATGTTATAAACAAGTAAAAAAACACTGAGAATGAGATACAAACTACTTGTAAATAATTGTATAGTAATGTAGATATGACACACCTTACATTTGGAAGGTTGGTTGGGATGTTTTATTGTTACCAAAGGCAACTTTTCCGCACTAGAACGTTTCTAAAAAAAAAATATTTTTTTTTCGACCCACCCTAATATACGTATTTGTGAGTATTGGTCGTCTTCAGTACGGTACAGTTAAGTTAGAAAAGGAGCATGTTACATTAACATCGGTAAAAAACATGGAAGGCCAGCAGTAACCAATAATAATTTCAGTCATTTACTCACAAAAATGTGGCACAACGGAAGCCTATTTCCCTTCCAAAATTAGAGGACATAAAATCTGTAATGCATTTAATACTAGGTGATGCTCAAGAATATTATAAACGTTTAAATGGAGACTCTAAAATTATTGATGATATTGAGGGATTTGGCGGCCGTCTTGATGAACTTGATGACCTTGAAGATGAAACCATGATAGCAGTTTTGGGGATATATGTTTTTTTGTATTTTATTTTTGTGTTACAATTATATTTTTATATACTAGTATTCTTGTATTAAATGTAATAATTTCAATAAAAGTTTTCTAAAGAGTTCATTTCTTAGACAGGCCATTCACGTTCCGACTTGTGGTCCCACTTAGTAGGATTACTAGTTGGATGTTCGTCTCCACTCACGCTCCGACTTTTTATCCAACTAGCGGTCCAACTTCAGTTCTAGATTGTTTTCGCGATGGTATACATCGTTTAACCAAAAATTGTATCGAATAAACACTACGCAAAATATAATAATATGATATGTATGTTTAAAAATTAGGTTTCGTTTCTCTAGTTATTTGTCTAGGGCTGAACTAATTAATTTTTTCAACTCTTGATTTTTATGACTTTTTAAGATGTAGGAAAAAATTATAGTTTTTAAAGATTTGTATAGGTATAAAATCTATATTTTATTTGTTTTAAACTGGAGCTGGGATTTATTTTGTTGTGTGTGTGTCGTATAGTTTTAATAGGAATAATTTTTCGTGCAATTGAAAGTTATTTTCCATTATTTTTTTGCGAACTAGGGATCTTTTGCTACAACTATGATTTATTTTTCATTGCTTGTTAATAATTCTTCCGTAGTCAATCCGGAGTATCGGAAATTTACCTGTATAGGTCCGAAATAGATATACAGAAAGGAAAATGATTTGCCCTAACAAAAAGGTAATTTTCGTGCAATTGAAAGTTTATTTTCTATTAAATATTCGCGAACTAGAGATCTTTGCGTAAAGTATTTCATAGAAATCTCATACGTAACAGGTGCCGAAAGTCAACTGACTGAGGAAATTTTCGATCCAACCTGTGATCCGACTTCCAACTTCACCATTCACGCTCCGACTTCGTCGCCAGTCGGAAGTCGGATCTTCAAGTCGTCCCACTAGTCGTACCACTAGTTGTCCAACTAATCCAACTAGCCCACTCACGGTCCGATTTCAGATCCAACTGCAGAAGTTGGACCACTAGTCGTACCATAAGTCGGAACGTGAATGGCCTGCATTAAAATGCACAAAGTAACCAAACCGCTTTTATACATATACAGGGTAGTTCTTAAGTAATTGTACAAAAAGAAACCGTAGATTCTACACTTTAAAATAATTTAAGCCAAATTCCTATTATACAATGTTGATATTAAGAAATATACAGGGTGTTTAAGTGGAAATTTAAAATTTTAATTTTCGCTATAACTTTCATGTTTGTGAACATTTATGT